AAACGGCTAAAGGTTCTTAAGAGATCCACAGATACATTATAAGATGTGTGTTAAATCCTTTCCAACCAAGAAAACACTGCTTAGATGTGAGAGTGATGAAGCTAGAATGCTGAGTCTATACAGAGAATAGAGCGATAGTTTTCATCAAATTCAATAAATGGAGAGATGAAATCCTAGAAAGGATGGTAGATATTCCCTCATGTGGTGGACGGCTAAAAATTAGAAATCTTTCTCCAAATCTTTGAAGAGATGGGAACAAAATGTTGCAGTTTTATTACGCCACTAAGTGAACTAGAGGCTTACATTAGAAAAAAGATAATATTTTAGATCTTTACCAGCTGAACTCAGAATGGAAAAGGATTGATGGAGAACTCCTCACAGTTCAAATAAAAACATACTAAGAAGAATGATGCTATGTATATATTGCCAGGAATTTGTGGAAGTTAAAATTCATGAGAATGGCGAAAAAGACTCATGTCTGGCAGACAAAAGTACTTAAATCCCAATGGCCTTCATCTTCCCCAGTAACAAAGTACTGGACCAAGAAAACCAGCCAAGAAGCTGCTCAGTCCCAGATAGATTTTGACTTTAAATTATGATTTCCTTTCAGACTTAGGTAAGACAATTTGTCCGATGGAAAGATCACCCTCAAGCCTATTAAACAAGATGCCCAAAAGCAAACAATGAGTTGAGTTGGTTCGTAAAGAAAGAGAAGTGCACTAGCAAATGATGTCCATGGAACTTTAATGCAATATGCAACTTAATGAAAAACCACCTGCAAATAAAAATTAGAGAACCATGCTTTGGCAGCAAAGAATTATTTGAAACTTCTCTTTCCAAGATTAGATCATGTGGCTAAAGTAAATCACTGCAGCCAAAGAGCATCTGAACATTATCTCTAATACTTAGAATCCTGATTTCAGAAGGCTTTTCTGTAATAAGGAGATAAATGAGCTGATTTCCCGCATGCAAATCACAAACAATCACCGTGAAAAACAGATGTGGACTTTAGAGAGCAGCAGAATTTTCTCATGTGCGTCATATTCTAGGAGTTTAAGGAATATAGAGTCCTTACTTGAACAAAGTCTCTTCAAACTCCCAAGAGTAAATATTTTTCTTGCAAACGTCATTAAGGGGAGGGATAAATCCACCTTGGATTATTCAAAGACTAAAAATCATTATTGGGCCTTATCTCTTAGTCGTTGTTGTCTTTGATTCAAGAACAAAAGCCTATATTGCGGCATAGCCTGGGAACATTCTTGGATAGTTTTTGGTATCCAATTGGAGTTTCTCCTCTACCTTCAGTCAATCTCCATGGCAACTGCGTTTTTACCACTTTTTGAAAAAGAAAGTGAAGATTCTTCAAGAGAACAGGTTCAGAGCTCTTATAAACCATAAAATTTTCTCCATAATGCAAGTGACGAAAGAAGGTTCGGGCAGCCATCCATTATAAAGCTTCCTTTCGAAGTGCAACAGCCAAGTAATTTTGTAATGATGACTCTTTTTATAAACGCAATTGGAGAAAGTTTTTGTAATCCTTCTTAACTTATGGATGGATTCCTTATCACCCTCTTTCGCACTTTTATCCCCTTATGAGTATCTTATGTGTCTGGCAACCAATGTAGCAGAGTCGAGTGGTTGTCCCATTAGATTAGTCAAAGTACATGCAAGCTTGTCAGAAACTCACATATATGAAAAAAAAAAAAAAAGTATTTAATATATAGATAGAAACATATGGCAAAAGTAATTCAGCCAACAAAACTCCACAAAACAGAAAAGCAAGGACCTGTCATATATCTATCACAATTCAAGTCACTTCAATCAAGCATTAAATGGTTCTTGTCTTGAAACTAATTAATTCCAAAGTTCGATGAGAGGTTCAAGAATAACCAAAATGAGATATATTATGAAATTATAGAAAATCAAACGTCTTTATTTCAATGCTCTCAGTAAGAACCTCCATAGACTAAAGTCATTTTTAACGCTAATGGTAGATTTAGCAGACATGAAGACAAACTGAGCATGCTAATGCAAAGGCAGTAGATAAAAGGCTTTGAAACTAACGGAAATAAAGCATTGAGAAAATTTGTGATAACTGTTAAGAACATAACTTCATAAAATTTCATTACCTTATTTCTTCCCCACACAGCCAACGAAGTAGCTTTGGGTTTTTGCTGTCAGCTGGGTGCAGAAAGCTAAAAATCCAGAGATGAAGACAAATCATATGTATCTCAATTAAAACATCCAATAAGCTTTCCGTGTTCACCTCAAAAATAGCCTCCACAAATACTAAAAACTTACTCGTTGAACTCGGCCAAATTCAAAAGACCATCTCCATCCGCATCCGATGCATTAAAATGTTCAAGTTTCCACCAGCCCATATCATACCCAAAGGAATTGTTATCTGATGAACAGTTTAATAATGAGTAATTCACAAAGGAACATAAAACAAATGGAAAACCTCCTATGAATCTGCATCATATGTGGGGCAATTACATTTGTTGTTGTCAAAATACTTATCGCTTAAGAAATCGATCAAAGGGTTTTTCAAACTCTTAGTCCTAGAGATTGAACAGTACAAACATATCTTTCTACACAGCATAGCAATTCGCAATGAGGAAGAATTGAACAATACAAGAAGAAAGAGTCGCCAATTCATTGTCGAGCATACATGAAACTAAAATCCAATAGCATTTCAAGAAAAACAGACCTGAATTGCGAATCCAACTGGGGGGCTCGTACTCTGAAAACGAAATAAGCCCATCATGATTCTTATCATGCGTCTCCAACTCCCTTCGAGTCCTATGCAAAGTTTCCCTCTCGGCCTGCTGCAAATTCCACTCAGTCAACTCATCGACAGTGACAAAATCGTCATGTGGATTAATATCAATCTTCGGAAACAGCAACGTCAGCCGATCGGTCACATTGAACCTATTATCGTCATTGATATAATCCTCGGCATTCGCAAAATCCTCCCACTCGGGCTGCGATTCTTCACCGGGGGCCGATTCCGTCAAATGCGCAGCCATCTCTGGATGGTGTTCTTCCACATATTGCTTCTCCCATTGCCGGTCTTCACGACGGCGCTCAATGTCGGCGACGAGAGGGTCGAACGGCACCGCCTCGTGATGGTTGTGTCTGCGATTGTGCGAAAGGTCAAAAGTGAAGTTGGAGCGAAGATGGAGGCGGCGATGGCGGTGATCTGGGGTTTTCTTGGGCGAGTGGGAAATGAGAAGAAAAAGAAGAATGGCAACTGTAATGTATATGATAATGGAAACTCTGTTCATTCTGTGAAGTGTTCAACAATGGCTGCCAATGGCGAATGCGGAGGTTGAAGAAGATGGAATCCGAGGGATTAAGAATTTGAGAGATATCTCTGGAGAACAAATTGATCAGAGAGATTCTTAGAGCGAAGGGGAATCGAGAGGAAAACGAGTGGAAGAATTGGACTAAACGGAGTTTGTTTTTGTTGATCATTGATGACTTTCGTAGATCTCTTGAATTCTCTTGTTTTTTATTTCATCTTTTTTAATTCTATTAAATTTTTTTATTAGTTAATTCTAATATTTAAAATTATATTAATATTTAAAATTAAATTAAATTTGAGTTTAATTATAAACTTATTAGAAATTTTGTTATAATTAAAAATCGTTATAAATTAGATACAAGAATTATATATACATATATTTAATTAATTTTATAATTACTTTTTATTATATATACTCTAATAATTATTTAAAATAAATTTTAATTAATTTGAAAGGTAATTTTTTAAAATAGTTACTAAAATTAAATAATAAAATTGTTTGAAAATAAATAATTAGTTGGTAAAAGTTTTATTTCTATTAAAAATGAAGTTTCAAATTAAACTAATTTAATAAAAAAAAAATCATGGTTTGATTGGTGGACTCGAACTAAATGGTTAGTTTTGAAATTTTAGAGATTATAAAGACGTGGTTAAAAGGGCGTTTGTGGAATTTTGAAATTTTAGAGATTATAAAGACACGATCAAAAGGGCGTTTGTGGAAAATAAACTTTTGGTTCCTTATGTCTGAGTTTAATGTCTATTCGGTCTGAAATCTTGAAGTTAATATTATAATCTCCACGTTTTATGATTCTTAGTTGATAAACGAAAAATTGTCTGGTACTTTTCTAGTCTAGTGACTAACTTAGTTTTACGACGATTTATTTCTCAAACATCAAGAAATAAAGCTTGTTTTGAAATTTAAGAGCAGAATAGATTTCAAACTCAAATTTAGAGGTTAAACGTTTTGGTCTAGATAAACATGCATGTCTTCCGATTTATCACATTCCGTATAACAAATTTCGACTTATAAAAAATAACTTAAAACAGTGAAAAATCATTATATTAAAAATAATTTTAAAATTTTCGAACATTTTAAACTAATTCCGATAGAGGATCTCATAAAAATTTAGAGTAGAATTGAAGCATAATATAATTAAAGAAAAAAATAAAAATAAAATCATTAATAACAAAAAAAAAAAAAAAAAGACATTGCACACACAAATTAATTATGGACGACGATATTATAAAACCTCAAGGCGCACGTGACAAAACCTGACACATGCTATGCTACGAGTTTTATTTCTTCCAACAAAAGAAAAAAACCCTTTTTTATCTTTTAAATCAAAAAATTATTCTATTTTAATTCTATCTCGTACCCTAAATAAATAAATTAAAAATGAAATATATTTAAACGAAGAGTTATTTTTAATTTTAATATTTTATTTTTAAAGAATTATAGAAATAGAATATAACGGTATAAAATATTGTAGTAAAAATAATAAAATTTTATAAGAAAGAAATAATTATAACCTAAATCAATCTAATTTTTAAAATTTTAAATTTCAATAAATAAATAAAATTGTTTCTTAAATTAAAATTCCTTAAAGACAAAAAATAATTTCGACATGTCGTCTGGGAGACAACATTTTGATCTGCGCCCGCCCTTTCTCGTTCGCTTTTATATTGCAAGAAGAACGTCACACCTTAATTACACCACTGTATTCCCAGCTCCGACTACACAAAGACAGCTCCAAGAAGCCTCGGAAAATGTATTCCAACTCCGGCCACTCTAACGGCTTCCACCACGGCGACTCTTCCTCCGAAAAGCGGCCTGGAACCGTCCAGAAAGGCCGCCCCCGCCGGGGAAGAGCTAGCAGGTCCTCCAATGGCGGCGGAGTGAGGGTTTCTGAAGATGAGCAGATGAAGCAAGTGGAGGGACTTCCTTGTACCGATTTTGACATGGCCTACTTTCAATCGTACTCGCACGTTGGTATTCATGAAGAAATGATCAAGGTCAGTTTCGGTTGTTGTTCTCTATTTCTGATAATTGCTGATGCGTTTTACTAGACGATGTCAATTTGAGATATTAATTTTGTCCTTTATTTGGAGCGGTGGAACTTTGGGATACTTCGAAGGAAGTTAGGACATCGGTTGGGAGGATGTTGTGGGGGTGTTTTGAGGCTTATTTTCAGAATGATATTCTTGATTATAGTGGAAATGGGTTTTATATATGCTTGATTCCCAAGAAGTCTTAGTCTATTATCGCTATATTACAGACTTTAGACCGTTTATTATATATACTAGTTTGGTTAGCTTATGTAGTCCCTTCACTTTTTCCCTTGCCCACTTGGCCAATGTTCCATTTTTGAGTTTTGGCTCTTATATAGATAGGCCTTTTCCTTCTGTCTTGTCAATGACACACCAATTGGGGGCAGAGTGTCACCGTCCTACTTTTTCAAACGTGCAGCGTCGTGATCTTGACACACTCACGACCAACCTTAAGAGAACTCAAGCCCCATATACATTTTTCGCCTGACTTTGTGGCTTTGTCAGACCTTAGGCGAGGTTTGTCTTCACCAACCGAACATCGACGATGCACCGTCCTCCTCGGTTGCATCATGACACTCGTCTAGGCTCTCGTGTGGCCGGATGGACGCTACTTCTCTTGTCGTAACGTGAGGGTCACAACCTTCTCTCTTCATAGTTAGGTTGTGACATGGGGCAACATGTAGGATAACTTTGCTAGACTACCATAAGTGGCATTAAGACCTTGAAGAAAGACATACTGATGAAAGACCCTACACTTTCTGTTGACCTCTTTCATATATGTATACAAAGCTCTTGAGAATTGCTATTTTCCTTAGTCCTTGGCTATAAGAACACCAAATAAGGAGCTGATGGTGATGGGACTGGGTTGAGCAAGCTTCTGAAGTCTAGTATTTTGGTTTTGAGAGAGAAAATGTTGTCATGATATGTCAAAAGGTAGGGACACTGTTCATCTGTCTTTAATTGTCTCCTTTATAAAAAAAAGTTCTCAAGAACCTGAGTTACAGTTTCAGATATACTTCCGTTGCAACCCTTTTAAAAGATCATGCAAAATTGTTTAAAGACATCACATAAAGTGAGGCATCCATATCAGCCGTGTTCTTGAAATTCCACTGAATCCCAATTGCCGAATTTAAAGAAAAAAGCTTGGAGATGTTATGGCATGGCTCTTCATTGTAGAAGATGGAACAACACTCTGAAATGGCCACAAAAATTCTTGCCATATCTCCATTATTCTTTTGACTGCATCTAAGAGTAGTCTTTCTAAAGGTTTAAGTTTTTTCTTTTATATTTATGAATGTATATTAATTATTTAGAATGAATGAATTATATTAGCTAAAACATGCAAGCGTGTAAATTTAGAAATTCTACTCCATTCGTGTGCTGTTCTTTCTTTATATTGATAGATATCGTGAAATCCCTATTTTCAGGATAGCGTGCGGACTGAAACTTATAGGGCGGCGATTATGCAACATCAGAGTTATATTGCTGGCAAAGTATGTTTGTGCTGAAATTTATAAAATCTGTTTCTTTGCCATGTGTTTAATGAAATAGTTTCAATCCATTTTTTTGTCTTTTTATTTTTCTTTTTAAATAAAAGAAATGTAATTTTTCATTAATGACTTAAAAGTTACAGATGGATAATGAAGAGACATTATGAAAATGTCATATTTTGAAAACCAGAACTCGACTTTTTGGAGAACCAAAACATTATGAAAATGCCCTCTAACTGGGAAAAATTACGTTATAAGAAGAAGGACAAGGACGAACTTGAAACAAAACACCACAAATAAAAGCTTCACTTTACTTTTAAAGTTTATTCCACAAGGTGGCTGGAAAATATTATCCTTTGTCCGTTTATTCAATGCTCAAGAAACACTAAAATTTCTGGAAGCCTATTCAAACACTTGCCACTATACGAACAATGAAAGTTTTTGTTTTTTTGGCTTCTTCTATTTTCCGCTTTCCTTTTTGAGCCGCCCTCATGTCGTTTTCTTCTTTCATTTTCTTCAATGAAAGTTGGTTTTTAAATAAAAAATTAGTATGAACACAGAAAAAGTAGATACTTGGCCCTTCCCTGCTTTAAACTGGAGTTGATACATTAAAGGATTTAACATCCTATGAGGAAGTTTCATTTATATTTAAGCTACCCAACAAAGAAAAACGGTTCTGCTACTAGTCATTTTTTTTTGCGTAGTTCTTTGATCTAATCCATGGTTATTCTCTGCTACACAGAGTTTCAAGCATCTGTTGTCTTTGACTCTCACATTCATTATGCATTATCTTTCACTCTATCAAAACAGGGTCAAAACTTTAGTCTTTCATGTGTATAGCATAATATATCCATTTCTGGATTCTATTTGAACCTGTGCTCATTTTCCTGTTTATTTGCTAAATTGAATACAGGTTGTAATGGATGTTGGCTGTGGCACTGGTATCCTCTCCATATTTTGTGCTCAGGCTGGTGCTAGGCGGGTGAGCTATCTTGTGTCTAAATGTGTTTTTTTCCCTAAAAACATTATTGGCACAATGCCGGAATCTGTTTTTAAATTTTACTTGGACTATTAGCTTTTCTAATGGTGAGGTATTTGCACTTTTTAATTATTGGTTGAGCTGGCGTGGCATCTCTCTCTAGGATCCCTAGACGTCTCTTCTAACTCCAGTTCCTTGAAATTCAATCACTAACAGCCCATTTTCATCGTACCTTTTCTATTAAAGATTGTCTAGTCATTAACAATTGAAACATTTTTGAAGTGAAACACGAGGGAGTGTCCATTACTATGAAAGCTTGATATGTTTATTATCCAAACTTCGAACAGAAAAGAAGTTTTTTAATTATTTTTTTTTTTTTTAATTTAAAAAGTGAGAATGGTGTTAGATAATGCTTCACTTTTTTTTTTCTTTTGTTTCTTTTAATGAACGGATAGGAGCGGAAAGACCTAGATCTTTGTGTATTTTGTTAACAAGGCTACTTTGCCACTTGCAACAAATACCATGTTGCATATTAAGTTGTACTTCATTTTTGTTAGAATCTAGTAGTTTTTGTTTGGGGCCCTCCTCCTTTAAGGTGTGTGAATACTGATGCAAGAATCACAGCATTTGAAGTTAGTTTAAGGTTTGTGGGTAGGATTATAGTGCAGCTGTTAATTGATGCATTGGGTAGGGTATAGGCTGATTGAGAAAATAAAAGGTTTAAAGGTGTTTATAAAAGACTTGAGTATTAAAAAGAAGGAATGCACTTTAAATTAGGAAATTATAGAAAAGGAGTAGAATTGATTGATCCAGCAGATGGAAGACTTTACTAGTTGGGGAACGGGAGAAGAAGGGGAGAATTGAGAAGGAATTTCAAGAATGGTGCTATAAACAAGAAAGAACTTTTAGACCTAGTAATTGTGGGAAAGCTTGTGATGTCAACAACACAGCTTCTCAATGCATTGAATGGAAAGCATCGATGACCCCAATGTTTCCCAAGCTGTGTGGTTGTGTTTGGTTCGTGGTCTATAATGATTTGATCCTTGCTTGGGGCTTGGATATGCAATTGGGATATCGTTCCACTTTACAGAGTGATCAAATGAAGAATGTTGGTGTGATTGACATTGAGTACATAATCCATTATGGAAGTCCGACACTCGCGGTCCAGAAGAAAATGAGGCTTCTTCCAAGTCTCATGTAAAGGATCATTGAGCTGACTTTAGGAGGTACTCCTATATTCAACTAGATGTGTTTGGAAAGAAATGGAAAAAGGCTATTGTGCAAGATGAGCATCAGATCCATACTGAGAGACAATAGAGGGCAACAGTTGATAAGGCAATTGTTCGATGAATTCAAATTATTTTGTCAATTTATGGAGTCATTGAAGTGGAGAAATGACTGCCTACACATTGTTGGTATTCAAGAACAACGAGGAAAGGATGATAGTATATCAGCGACATATTGTGGTGGAAAGTCTTTACATGAAAATCTCGGGTACAGATTCCGATCTTTTTGTGTTCTGTATTTAAGAACAAAAAAGCTTTTGGCATATGAGTAAGCTATCTTTGATCCATTCATTGATTTTGCAGCATCTTAAATCTCCTTCCTTCTAAAAGGTGTTTCTAGGGGAGAACTTTTCTATTAAGATTTGTTGAAACTACACTTCATGGAACATTTCACTAAACTTCTAAAAATGGTATTCTTTTCTTCAATTTCTAAATGTCTCCATACTTTCGTTGAAGGAAGACAAATAGTGGGCTTGGTTCTAATTGGTAATGATTTGGTAGAAAATATAGAGTTAAGGATAGAAGACAGGTTTGTGAGATGAAGGGCTGCATTTGATATGGCTGACGGGAAGTTTCTACAAATGGTAATGAAAAGAACATGAGTTTGGTTGGTAAAGATGGATATGTGAGATGAAGGGTCGTGTTGTTGATATAAGTTCCTTATCTTTCATAATGGAAAGCAAAGGAGAGCCTTTGGTTTTGTCCCCCAATTCCTTAGGATTCACTTACCACCCTTCCCTTCTCATTTTCGGCAATCATCATATTGCAAAAACCCCTTTATGTTCCTTGTCGTAGAAGTTTAAAATTTTAAAGAAGATTAAGCTTTTTACGTTGTAGGTTTTACATGGGAGAATGAACATTATGGACCACGTTAGGACATTCTTTCTTCTTGATTGAGCCACAATACTATGGATCATTTTTAGAGACTATGACTTTATAGTTGAATGCAGTCAAAACGACTCTTTGGGTTTATAGAAAGAGAGACAAAAGGGTGTTTCACGGTCGAGTAAAGATTGGAAGAGGTGGTATTGTTGGCCAAGTTTAAGATTGGAAGAGGCAGTATGATTGGCTAAGTTTAATTGTTCTTTGTAGAGTTTGTTATTTTCTTCCTTTCGTACTTATCCCTCAAGTGTAATTAATACAAATTGTGTAATGACACTTGAAATTGATGAATATTTCCTTTGGGAGAGATATTGGAACTTTTGCCGGGATTTCGCTTGATGTACTTTTTACTCGTACGATGAATCCTTTTTTTTTAAAAAAAATTCTTGATTGGTTAATCTGAGATCTGGGGTAACAAATATTTATCGTTCCACAACATTCTTGAATGCTCATTGTTTCTCTCTTTTGTCAGGTTTATGCAGTTGATGCAAGTGACATAGCAGTGCAGGTATTATTCTTGTATGATATTGAAATTTTATTATTATGGTTTGTAAATAGTATGCTTTTGGGCTTTAAACACTAACGTGTTTCCAGCTACCACTTTCTTGATTATTGCTACCCGAAAAATCTTTATGTAATATCCTCACCTTTGGATGATTTTTATTCATAGTCACCCATGTATAATTCTGGAAACTGATGTAAGAATACAATGTGAATTTATTAGTCTAGTTTTATTTAGTGAATTGATTAACTAAAATTAACAATTTAGCTAAATTGTTTAACTAAAGAATATTCAATTGTATAGAAAATCTGTCTGTTAGATTTTTAATTCTGTAATGGTTTCCCCCTTTGGTTGCCCAAGAATAAATTTTACCACTCGATCAATTTAGCTAAATTGTTTAACTAAAGAATATTCAATTGTATAGAAAATCTGTCTGTTAGATTTTTAATTCTGTAATGGTTTCCCCCTTTGGTTGCCCAAGAATAAATTTTACCACTCGATCAATGTTCCAAAACTGTACTTTTCCTTATCCCTTCTGTGGGTGCTTTTTGATGTTTACTGTCCAAGGTTGGAGGCTTTTGACATCAATGTAGTGGAAATATAGTTAACCATGTGTTTCGGAGTCTTGTCATTTTGATATGTCCGGAAAAACTGAACTTATTGAGCTGTAAGTATCCATCATATGCAATCGCTTCTGCTTTTTTTTTTTTTTTTTTTTTTTTTTTTTTTAATTCTATCGGGGTTACATGCATCACTTTTAACTCTCAACGTTTCAGATTTTGTAGCCTATCTACTTTTTGTTCTTACTAATTCTTCTTTTAATGGACTAGTATCAATTATAAATTTGTAATACGTTACATTCTTACATATCGATGCACTCAGTTTCACTCTTAGTATCCATGCATATTTCAGTACATGTAATTGTCATATTATTACTGTNTTTTTTTTTTTTTTTTTTTTTTTTTTTTTTTTTTTAATTCTATCGGGGTTACATGCATCACTTTTAACTCTCAACGTTTCAGATTTTGTAGCCTATCTACTTTTTGTTCTTACTAATTCTTCTTTTAATGGACTAGTATCAATTATAAATTTGTAATACGTTACATTCTTACATATCGATGCACTCAGTTTCACTCTTAGTATCCATGCATATTTCAGTACATGTAATTGTCATATTATTACTGTTATAATATATAATTTTATTGAAGATACTAGTTAGACATCTATGAATCATGGAAGAAGCAAAATTTGAACTTTATGTCTGAGTTGATTTTGCTTTTCTTTGCAGGCCACAGAGGTTGTTAAGGCTAATAATTTATCGGATACTGTTATTGTATTGCATAGTAGAGTTGAGGTGAGCTCTCTTAAGTTTCCGATTTGTCTTTACTCCTATTTGGTTGCTCCTAGTCTTCATTAATCTAGAATTGATATGTTTAAAATGTTTCCATCATTTGATAAAAAGAAAAAAGAAAAAAGAAAAACCGCTAATGATTGGAGTCCCTTTTGTAACGTTTGATTCCTTGCTTTGCGCTTTTGATTCATCCCTTATTTTGTACTTTCATTCTTTAAATTGGTTAAAGAAATGTTTCTATTATATCTTTTTTTGGAACGCATTTAAATTTCAGGTGGCCCATCTTCAACGACATGGTGAAACTAATCCCTAAATGTATAATCAGAGATTTAGATTGAATGATGAATGATGTAGAATTACTCATATTGGTTACCAAGTTTTAAACAATCCACTTGGTTTTGGTTCCCTTATTTTCTAATTCTTTTGTTGCGTTTGTTTCAAGTAATTCTCTTGGGAATGGGTTGGGATGTACATTGTCATGTTTTGATTTAGATATCAATCATACTACCTACGTGTCATCTTACACTCTTTGTTGGTAGGTTTTTACAGCTCTGGTTTCCCAAGAACGACTTTGGACGTCCATGTCTTATGACTTTCGTTTTCGATTTAGGTTTTATTCTTTTAGACTGGAGTTGTCAGGAGGTTTAAGATTTGTTGGGTTTCTTTTGGGCTGTCTTTCGTAGATCCATTTTTTGTTGGCTCTGTTTTTTTACTATGGTTGGTCCTGTATTCTTCAGTTTCTTTCACTTAGTTCTTTGAATATAAGAAAAACAATAAACCAAAATATTACTTTCATTCAAAGTTGTGAATGGATGACCTCCTGTTCCTATTGGCATCACAAGTACATGATAAAGAGATGGGTTCAGTATTAGTTCATACAAAATTCATTAATAGATTACGTAGTTGTTTACCATTTATTATTTAGTAAATTTGATTAATTTATTAATAAAATATTAATAACAATTACATTGTTGAACTTTTCCTCCTAAAACCTTGCAGGATGTTCAAATTGATGAGGATGTGGATGTTATTATTTCTGAGTGGATGGGATATATGCTTTTATACGAGGTGATTATGTTCATCAACTTGTAAAGCTTGAACCTGAAATAATTACCTTATCTGCTAGTTTACCTCAATGTTTTTCATGAAAGATCCAATTTTACTTATTCTCTCTATTGAATAGTGGGATTATTACTATTGCAGAGCATGCTTGGAAGTATAATTTATGCCAGAGATCGGTGGTTAAAACCTGGAGGCCTTATACTGCCATCAAATGCAACAGTATCGGCTTTTCTTATATTATCTTCAGTTTTGATCTATTGTGTAACACTGGTGGCAATTTTTTGCCCCTTTGTTCTCATTACTTTTCACTTGGACTATAAGATGTGTCTACACCATTAGCATGCATGTTACCTATTTTTCTGTAGGATCTTTGAGTCATTTTTAATGAGAAATGGAACTTTCATCAAGAAAGATGCAAAAGCATTGAAAAGAACAGCGAGAGCTATTGAAGTTGGAAAACTTCAAATGATCTGTGCAAAATGAAAAGCTATACAAAAAGATTCCCCTTGCATTCATAACCTCCATCTCTGAGTAGTTGGGTACTTCTTTTTTAATGAGAAATGGAGCTTTCATCAAGAAAGATGAAAGCTGTTGAAATAACAGCAAGAGGTATCAAAGTTGGAAGGCTTTAAATGATCAACATACCCTGTACACAATGAAAACCTGTACGATGTGTATATACCTCAAAATCTTAAGCAATATATAAGACAGAAAAGAAGGAGTAGTGCTAAAACCTTGGGTAGTTGGATAATTGGGATCAGAGCTTGTTTTATGTTGTGTGCGCGCGCGTGTGTGCATATGCTTTGTTTTATAAACTTGAGTAGCTTGACAGATACAGTGCTGATTCTGTCTATCTTGCTCACAGTTGTACATGGCACCTGTCACTCACAGTGACCGATACAGTGCGAGCATTGATTTCTGGCGCAGTGTATATGGAATTGATAGTAAGTCCATGTTAAAGCTTCGAGTTCCATTTTTTCAGCTTTTATAGGTTAGCTTTTTGTTTTTATATCTCAGTTTATCTAGAATTATTTGTACTTTGTTGAATATATAAGTAATTTGGTCTGTTAAATTAATGAGAAGATTTTCTTCTCTAAAACCGACAGCTTCTTGGTACTAGTTAAATAATTGGATGTTGTGTCATGTGTCACGGTCGAACTTTTTCAACCATGCGGCGTCATGATCTTGACACGCTCATGACCAGCCTTGAGGGGAACCCAAACCCCATATTCATTTTTCGCCTGGCTTTGTGGTTTTGTCGAACCTTAGGCGAGTTTTGTCTTTGCCAATCAAACATCATTTGTGCTGAATCCAAGCTTGTTCGGCCCCACACTCCCCCTCCCCCTGTGCATGCATATTCAATCTTCTGCAACACAACCAACTTGCTTTTACACTAGACCAAGTCATTCGGCTCAAGGAATCGTCCTCGATGACTTACTTAGGGGCACAATCACTCCACGGATTGTGACACTCTCCCCCACTTAATCTCAGCATCGTCCTTGACAACGATCTGACTTCGGACTGGTTGTTGACGGACCCGCTGGAAATACGTGCTTTATGAATACAAAATTACACACTACTTATGAGCTCTCCCACTGACGAACCTTCCCTCGGTTTTTGAGACTCGCAACATAAGCACAATAAAACAACTGCCCAATGATTGTGGGCTATCCCCTCTGGGGCCTCCCTTGCCCTTCTCTCGGACGTGGCTTGGGACTCACTAGACAACCCACTGCAAGCTAACTAGCTTTGCATATCCTTGCCTAGGTTAGGGGGAGCGTGTTCCAAACTTGGCCACTTTGGCCTCACTCATCGTATTCTCTGAGGCACACACAACGGTGCCCCCTTTGGGGTAAGGCTCGCAAGTCAATCACGACATTTACTCATCGTGGCACCGACCCTTATAGTAGCAATGTTTGAAAGCATGTAACACAACCACGTATTGGCACTACACTTCAGCCAACTCTTCAACTAGTCACCTTCATGTGGCGATTTCTTCCTTGATACTTCTCTGGTCTTCCTACAGCCACTTTACTTTGCCCACATCCAGCAAATGCTCACTTATCTAGCTGATGCTAGTCTTGATCCTCTTGTGAAACCACCCACCTTAGGCACGAGACAGTGGCTCAAGGAATACACATGTGCTTGCACTTTGGAGAACATTCATGGTATGAGCAACCCATTAACTCGAGTCCTCCTCCGTTCAAACTCGATTGCCTCTTTGCAGCAAGGTTACCCCCCATAAGGACTTGTGTTGTGTTCAACTTGGCACTTGGCCGACACTTGTCTTGTCTGACCATCGGTTTCTCTACTTGCAACCATTGACACTATTCCTCTAATGTGAATGGTTCTTCGGAAGACACCCGACCTGGTGTTTCTTCTGTTGCATCTTATCTGCCCAATTCAGAACCCCAAGCCCTTGGCAAATGAGCTTGGTCTTGCTTGACAGGTAAGGACTCTCCTCATGAATGTGTCACAACTGACATTCTTGAGCTTGAGGGAGTCTTGCTTTCGACCCGTTTTTGTTTCTAATGCTTGACAACACAAATGCCTTGTCGATACTGTCCTTGAAAGATCCATTTAAAAAGAAGTCGCTTGAGACACTTGTCTCAGAACGCTCGCCCTCACTGTGACACACACATGTGCCACAGGGTAGCTCACTTAGGCCACAGAGCCCATGGGTGGTGGAGAGCTGACACCATGCCTCCTCCTAAGGTAAATATTTAGGCATTTCTAATCCTTCTTGGGTAGACATCATTTTGGTGAACAGTCATATGGTGTTGTGGAGTGTTCGTCCGGTGTCCGATTGACACCAAATTTGGCAAGCATTCATATTTCATATGGACAAGCTTGACTCTAGAACCGCATGCCCAAATTCCCTCTGGAACCTCAACTTTCGAGGTTAAGGCCCGGAGCCCTACCTGACCCTTCAACAAGCCTATCCTTAACACTCATGTCTACTCGTGGCCCTTATCTGTCTCATCTACTCTTTAATGCACACTCTGTGTGGTGTGTTAGATGATGCACCATCCTCTTCGGTTACATCATGGTACTTGTCTAGGCCTTCGTGTGGCCGAATAGACGCCACTTGAGGGTCGCCACTTTGCTTGTCGTAACGTGAGGGTCACAACTGCACCATGGTATGTTTTAAAAAATTATCTCTTTCTTTCTTGTAAATATATACTATATTTAGAGCTTATATAACCAATACTGCCTAACCTAACCGAAACAGATATTCATCCTAGATATGTTCCAGAATCTTTGGAAATTTTGAGGGTTGGTGCTGCTATTTTTGTTGAAGGAATTGATATAGTTAAAACACATACTGAACTTATTAAACATGTTCCACCTTCTTTAAAAGAACATTGTAGTTAGTCCGACATTTTTATGGATAATTTTCTTTGTACTGCCCTTTCTTGGTTGTAAATGCTCACCACCTTTACTAGTTATGAACTTTCTTCCGTAGTCGCTAAATGAAGGTCATTTTTGCAACCACCTTTAGTGGCTGAGATTTTTGCTTTATTTTGTACATTTCATTCATCAATAAAATTTTTGTTTCCTTCTTAATAAAGTTAATTCGATGGTAAAATAAGTACAAAAAGAATTTTGAGAGAGAGCACCACGACAAAGAAGAGTAAACATAACATAATTACAGGAATCTCTTGAAAGAGAACACTAAATAGGGGAAAGCAATCCAAATCTAAAAAAAATCCACGGTGAGAATCTTCCTGAAGAGCCACCATTGCTCTGTTCGAAAAATGGGCGCCTGAAATGAGCAAAAGAAAGTTGCCGAGCCTTAGGAAGCACCCGGTGATTAAAGAGTTTAAAGAGGTCATGTCAATATTAAGCAGCAAAAGGATAATTGATAGGCCAAGGCTCTTTGGGAGAGTATCTCTTTTTTAGCCATATCTTGGTGTAGTTGATGCCCTCTTTAAATCTTATTCTTTTGTTTCTCTTGTTACCAATTGGAGAGGTTTTTTGTTACTCCATTGACTTGGGATTTTTTTTCCCCTCTTTTGTAATTTTATACTCTATAAAATTACTTCTTATTATAAAAACAAATAACATTTTTGTATATTCTTCTTACATAACTTCCGTATCTTTTGTTTTGTTCTTTAGTAAATCTTGTTCATGTTTTCCTACTAAGAGCGTGGGAGACCTGTGTATTTATTAGTATTTAAATGAAAATCCGTATGTAACTTGTATATTCATAAATTATACCTTTTTTTTTTTAAGAAAATAAATTATACATTTTCTGTTCATTTGTTCCCTGTGCTGTGTTCTTGTTGATATAAATTTAACTCTTTTTCTCCTTTTTCTTGCCCTGGTGCTGGGGGGAGCGGGGGTATGCAGTGTCAGCGATGTTGCCATTAGCTAAACAGTGCGCTTTTGAAGAGCCATCGATTGAGACAATATCAGGAGAGAATGTTTTGACATGGCCGGAAGTGGTGAGGATTCTAAGTTCCCTTTCTTTTTTGGTTTGATTATATAATCGTGAACTAGAATTCCAACCTTGAAAAGGCTAATAGGTACATAAAACAACTCTGGTTTGATTATATAAGCAGGGATATTGGTGCCAAAAGAAGTGTTTTCAGCAACATTTACCCTTTTATACTTAATGATTGGTCTTAGGAAAGGTAGTGATTTCTTAGATAATAGTGCCTTTCCTTTTTAATTGATAAACAGGGTTTTGTTTACAAAAAATGTGAAAGATTATAAAAGGACCTATAGAAAGGTGGACCAGAAAGGGGAGCCAACCAGAGACTAAACTACCTATCCAAAAAGGGTTCCAAGCAGAAAAAAATAAAGACCTAAAAGATGATTAAAAAACTCCATAGAAACTGACATGCATAGGGAGGCGTAAAACCTGACATAAGATCATATCTCTTCCTCCTGTCTCTCAAGACACATGAAAGATGTTGCTTTTAAAAGGTGAAGATAAATGTGAGTTTTCAAAAGTAGTGCTTTTTATTAACCTTGATTGGGATTGTTTCTTGTAACCTCTTGATGCTTTATGTGTTTCCTCTTCTCTGTAGCCGTTTGGCTGTAACCCTTTCTTGATGATGCTATAGTTTGTTGCTTGTCACAAAAAGTTCATGGAAGATAGCTTAGAAATGATGCATTAATGACATCACAATTTTTGTTCGGAATGGATTCTTTTTTGTACTTAAGAAAGGCTAGAACTTATCAGTCTTTCATGACGCGATCTTAATGCATAAGCTGTGAAATACCTGAGGATGTGGATGCTATTTGTTTATTATAAATTTTTCGTTTGTTGTGGGGGAGAGGTGGTGATTGATTTATAATGAACACTCTTGTATTGAGTTCATAAGTGTTGGCTTCTTGTAAAACATCTGCCATGCTAAGTTGGCAGGCAGGTTTCTTTTAAAGCTGTTAGTCTTTTTTTTTTTTTCTTTCTTTGGCTGGCAAGTTTCCTTCCCTAAAGTACCACAGCTTGCACTCATCATTCCTCGACGGGTACCGAGAGGGACATTGTGGCAGAATTTGATCAGGGCTTCAGTAGTTGCCTTCCTTATGCTTCACGTTTTTTTGGTAGTCCATTATTTTTGGTAATTTCTATGTATCATTATAATGCTCTGTTTCTAAATTTTCTTTTTATATATACAAAAGTGGCTGGCTGATCAGATCTATAATTGAATTTGGAAAAAGAACAAGAATTTCAAGGGAGTTTGTGATGGATTAACCACCCAAAGAGCATGTGATGGCATTCTTTAGAAGTATTTTCAAAAGTCCAATGATGGAAGAGAGAATGGAACAACCTGACTAGAACCTTCCTTTGACAACTTTATTTGAAAAGCGAAAGATTAGTTTTTGGTGTGACAGAAATTTAATTCCTTAATTGGAGAGAGGCAGGGAGAAATAGAGTAATTTACAAATGTTTACAATCAATCTGTTCACCTTTACAGGTAAAGCATGTAGACTGCCTCACGGTTTCAATTGGCGAGCTCGAGTCTGTCACAAAAAGTTACAAGTTCAAGTCAATGATGCGAGGTAATGTCTCTCTCGCCATTCTTCCCTCTTGACTTGCAGTGGCATTCATGCATGAACTTCTGTAACATTGGGTTGTCATATGATATGGTGTGAGATCCCACATCGGTTAGAGAGAGGAACGAATCATCCCTTGTGAGGGTGTGGAAACCTCTCCTTAGCAGACACGTTTTAAAAACCTTGAAGGGAAGCCCAAAAGGGAAGCTCACGGGCTTGGGCTGTTACAAATGGTATCAGAGCCAGGCATCGGATGGTGTGCCAGCGAGGACGCTGGTCCCCAAAGGGGGTGGATTCTGACATCCCACATCGGTTGGAGGGAAGAATGAATCATTTCTTATAAGGGTGTGGAAATCTCTCCCTAGCAGACGCATTTTAAAATCCTTGAGGAGAAACTTGAAAGGGAAAGTCCAAAGAGGACAATATCTACTAGCGGTGAGCTTGGGCTGTTACATATGGAGTCACTGTAGAGAATTCTTCTAGCTTTTATCTTCCTTGTGTTGTTTACATATCAATGTGGAGTTTGGACTACATGGGTGTTGCATTAAGTAGGACCATATGGATATATTTTAATCATGATTCATTATATATTGTTTGTGTATTTTTAGAGTGCAAACTTTTTTTCTTCCATGTCGCGGATCCATTCTTGTGCTGTTTATATGTAGTTTTACGTAGTTTTCCCGTTGCTATTGTGTTCTTTGATTTTCAAATTGTACCTGTGTGATTAAAAGCTCTTTAATTTCCAGCTCCGTTGCATGGTTTTGCATTCTGGTTTGATGTGGAGTTTTGTGGGCCTGCTACCGCCATGCATGGTCTAGTGCCCTCAAATTCTGATGATAATCAAGTGAATGATGGTAGCCAGAGGAAGAAACGTGCAAATCCAAATGAAGCACTTGTACTGTCCACGGCACCTGAGGATCCTCCAACCCATTGGCAGCAGGTATGTCATCGTATTATTGTAACTCAATATTTTAAATGTTTCTTTAATCCTTTTCTACATTGGTGCACGACTTAAGGTTTTGGTTTCTCCATTTATGATTTATTTTTTGGATGGAAAAGAAGATATATGAAACTAAAGACTATTTACAAGAAAAAAATGATCGAAAAATCTTTTAGCCACATGTCCGCGTGTTTCGGGAATGGGGTGAAATGTGTGGTAATGTCGTGGAGATCTTTGTTCGTCCAAAACTTCCGTAGATTGTTATTATTTAGCCTTAATCTTATAGTTAAGTTGCTTTGGTCAGAATTAATCTTGTTTATTTTTGCAGACATTAATCTACTTCTATGACCCATTAGAGGTCGAACAAGACCAAATAATTGAAGGCTCTGTTACTTTGTCACAAAGCAGAGAAAACCGTCGGTTCATGAATATTCGCCTCGAATACGTGTGAGTTCTATTGTAGGAAAGATTTCTCCAGCCACTGCTTTGATATGCACATCTCATTTTGGCTTTGATATTTGATCATGCAGTTCAGGTGGGCGATCCTTTGTAAAAGAGTCGGTGATGAGGTGATATCTATTCTTTGCTTTGTTTCTTGATGTGTAGTGTCTGTGAGCCTTCTTGAGGCTTAACCTTCCTGAAACAATTTTCCAAGCAACTCTAGGAATTACTACTCAGACTAACATTTTTAGAATTTGAAGTGTCTGGAAGCTGCTGGTTTGGTTGACCTAAGAGACAGTTGACTCTTGACCGTGTTTTTGCTTTGCGATTGCTTGATTCGATTTCTTCGTCACATTGTCTTCTCTTCGGGAAAGATGTAGGCTAAGATTGATACAAGACTCCATGAAGAATTCTTTTATTGAAATGTAATACTACATTGATATTACAATTGTAGGACTTATCCCCTTCAAATTCTCAAGGACGAGTATTTTTCCATCATGTAAGATTATAGAACTCCCACCATTTATTTTTTAAATGCCCAAGTTCAATCTAGAAGTATGATCATTTTCTCTCTCTATCTTTCTCTCACATCTCTTATTGATTGAAAAACATACATCCTCTTGTTGTCCTGATATTGTAGTGCTCCACTTTTGACTATATCTCAATGATCTGTTCTGTGATAGCTGAAAATTGATGAGATATTAAGTTTGTTAACGTTTTTCTGTTTTTGATATCTTTCATATCCAATATTGCATATACATCCTCTTGTTCTAGGAGTTCAACGTGTTCTATTTCAGCTGGAGAAGAGAGGAAAAGCTAAGTATGATTCTATTTTTATCTTCTCTTCTGGCTTGTTTCCCCTGTTGATTGTGCCAATGTAGTTGTCGTGTTTATGTTCGAAATATCTTTTAATCAACAGAGTAGCGGATGAGATTTAGAATTCTTGTGAGATCCCACATCGGTTGGAGAGGGGAATGAAGCATTCCTTATAAGGGTGTGGAAACCTTTCCCTAGTTGATGCGTTTTAAATTTTAAAACCTTGAGGGGAAACCCAAAGAGGACAATATCGGGTAGCGGTGAGCTTGAGCTGTTACAAGTGGTATCGAGCCAGACATTGGGTGGTGTGCCAGCAATGACGCTGGCCCCTAAGGGGGTGGATTGCGAAATCCCACAACAGTTGGAGAGGGGAACGAAGCATTCCTTTTAAGGCTGTGGAAACCTTTCCCTAGTTGATGCATTTTAAAACTTTGAGGGGAAGCCCGAAGAGGATAATATCTACTAGTGATGGACTTGAGGTGTTACAAATGGTATCAAAGCCAGACACTAGATGGTGTGCCAGCAATGACGTTGGCCCACAAGGGGGGTGGATTGCGAGATCCCACATCAGTTGGAGAGGGGAACGAAGCATTCCTTATAAGGGTGTGGAAACCTTTCTCTAGTGGATGTGTTTTAAAACCTTGGGGGGAAACCCAGAAGGGAAAGCCCAAAGAGGACAATATCTGCTAGCGGTGGGGACTTGGGCAGTTACGAACTTAAAAATTTGGACCATTTCTATGCATGTCATCCTTGCATAGGGGTCATGCTAATCTTCTCTGTATCGTTTCAATTTTATCGGATGTCCTTGGAGAGCGGAACGAAGCATTCTTTATAAGAGTGTGGAAACTTTTCCCCATTGGACACTTTTAAAACCTTGAGGGAAAGCCCAAAGAGGACAACATCTCTTAGCGGTAGGCCAAATGTGGTGATAATGGTTCAATTATTGAGCTCGCTCGTGCATGTCTTCGGTTCCTATACTTAATTTTATAACCTGTTATGGTTATGCCATATTTTTGGTCTCAAATGGACACAATAGGAAGTGGATTGGTGGGATGAACGTAGCCATACCAAAAACTTTGCTCTTCCACTAAACTCCATAGTTTAGAACTTTTTTCCAGAACTCTCTCTTTTCAGGGACAGTTGAGGGCCTGCCTGCTTGCCTGTGCAATGCCTTTACGTTTGGAAGTGGATAACATCCAACTCTTTTGATTATTATTTAGCTAATCACTGATGCATTTAGAGGAATCCTATTTGCTGATGAACACACTTGTTGTCTTTTGTTGCATTTTGGTCCTTTCCTTTATCTTTGTTAAAGATTTGATCCCTATATTTTTAATGTTCTTGCAGTTCTTCCCAAATCTCTAGAATTGAAAATTTGTGCATGATGTATGAGAAGTATGAGAGACCAAAATATTACTAGAGTCATTAACGTAAAACATGCTAACGTGCTAACGCAGGTCTATTTTTGTAACAGTTCAAGCCCACAACTAGTCGATATTGTCATTTTTAGGCTTTTCCAAAGTCTTTAAAACACGTCTGCTAGAGAGGGGTTCTCATACCTTTATAAAAAATGTTTCATTTCCCTCTCCAACCAACGTGAAATCTCACAATCCACCTTCCTTCGAGGCCCAACGTTCTTGTTGGCACTCGTTCATCTCTTCAATTGATGTGGGATCTCATAATCCACCACCCCCCCTTCGGGGCCCAGCGTCCTCGCTGGCATACCGCTCGGTGTCCATCCCATTTCAGAGCTCAACGTTCTCACTAGCATACTATCCGATGTTTGGCTCTCCAAACTCACTTGATATCATTTGTAACAATCCAAACTCACTGCTAACAAATATTGTCCTCTTTGAACTTTTCCTTTTGTGATTCTTTTCAAGGTTTTTAAAACGTGTCTGCTAGAGAGAGGTTTCTACATCCTTATAAAGAAGAATGTTTCATTCCTCTCTCGAGTCGGTGTGGGATTTCACAATCTTTTTGCTTCTATTTTGGAGGACTAATTTAGTTTTATCGGCATGGAAGTTTTGAACCACTCTACCTTGACCTTATAGCTTTATAAGATGTCTGTTTCTTATGGGTTATATATAAAATAATTGGTTGAAGAAAAGAAGATTACATTTGCTTTGGTTAAGTGTTTCTTTAATTGAAGGTATTTGCTGTAAGTACCTACTTTTGATTGTAATCAAATAGGTTTATGAGGCAAACTTTTCTCATGGGTCTTTATTGAAAAAGCCTAATGCTATTTTTTAATGCATTCATGCTTGTATAACACATTTTCTTTTTCTACTTTCAAACCTCCACTCAAAGTGTATTTATGTGTATGGACAAACAAAGATTTGGCTTCACCTTCTCGGGGTCGGTGGTGGAAAGCGTTATCCATTCGAAAAAGTTTTATCTGGGATTTAACCGTATTTAAAGGGATGAAATTCTTATAGACTCAATTAATATCTCTTTATACAATATTTGGATCAACCAAAAGAGAAAGCTGAATTAGATTACCTCTTATAGATCAAAGATATAGAAGTAAGATTTGAAATCTAAATTAGATTGCCTCTAAGAGATCAAAGATCTAGAAGTAAGATTTGGAATCTAGTTCTAAACTGAATCACTTCACAATTGAACTTGATTGAATGGCTCGGAAGTAATTTACCACAATAATTGTTTGAAATCTGAAATAGTAAAGATGATAACTCAAACTTCAAAGATAAAAGGTCTTAACTTGAGAGCTCAATTTCATTAATTCATAATCTAATAATCTTAATTTTATATACCATTTTGTGGGTATTTATAGCCTCCTCACAAAAGGTTCAAATGCCCACTAAAAAGAGTTATGAAATTAAAATAATAACCTATTAAAAGAGTTACAAAATTAAAATAATAAATAAAATTTTGTTAGGCAGAACAAGTTGATAGGATCCCTTTTTTACGTCCCCATGTCCTTCCTGTGTGGCGACATGGGGTAGAAAAAAGGACAGAGAGGGATGGAGTTCCTCTCACTTTTGTCAGAGCAGGCCCCAATGAAAGTCTCGCACGATGGGCTATTAGCTCAGTGGTAGAGCACGCTTCTGATAATTGAGTCGTTGTGCGTAAGCTTGTTGAATCTTGTGGCCTAAACCCTAAATCTTATAACTACAAAATTGTAAGTTTAGGAAATTACTATTTTAAAAGTATAACAACTAAATAGACAAAAATGCTAACATTATAAATTTAAAAATATAAAAAAAAAAATGAAATTTAAATAGTTGTTGATTTAGAAGTGAGAGAAATACAAGAATGATAAAAGAGTATTAATGATTGTGCACAAGACTAGAGGCTCATCATTTAAGGCCAGCAAAATGCATGAGATGCATTCATTCATCCATCCATGCCTCCTTCGTGTATATCTTCAAATGAAACTTCCGACTCAACTCAATCGTCTATTGTTAATTATTTAAAAAAAAATTAATTATCTACCGAACATGTTACATTTATGCTAATAAGAATTACAAAAGTCAAATATGTTTCATTTTTACAGTCACTTAGAAATAGGATAGAGTTCAATTGTAACACTACTCTCGAGTTAGCACGTGTTCAAACAAAAAAATATCAACCTACGTACCGATGCAAATTTTGTACATGGGTTTCTTTATGGCTTTCGTGAGGGAGAGATAGGTGTAATCCAGCATGCATGCACCCTATAGTCAACATAAACATTATACAAAACTTTCAAACACACCCAAAAAAGTCTACGTAAAAACAAACAAAGCCCATCATCAGCCACAACCAGCAAAAAGGAACACATTTTTATATCTATACATTCTATATATATATACACACACACACACACACACCACCTTCAGCTTCAGCGTCTTCTCCATTTCTCTGCACAGATACACTAAAAAACCATTAGAACTCTAATCATACTCCAAACCCCACAAACTCTCTTTTTCCCTTCCATATTTCCCACACTTTCAAGCCATCATTTCTCATTCTCAAGCTCTCAACTACTAAAAAACCATGCTACCCTTCCTCCTCCTCCTTCTTCTTCTTCCTCCTCTTTTAACCCGAGCGGCCGTCGACACGGTGGCCTCCAGCCTTGCGGCTAGTTACCCGGCCACCCAACTCCTACATGTCAAAGATACAATCAAAGAAACAGAAATCAAGCCATCTAGACTACCACAGGACCTTGAACTCCATGAAAACTACCCTCCAATTGACAACAGTACTCAGAATCAATGGAAGCTTGAGCTCTTCCATAGAGATAAGCTGCCCCTCAACTTCGACCCCGACCATCGTCGCCGTTTCAAGGAGCGTATTGGAAGAGACGTCGAAAGAGTCTCTTCTCTGCTCCGCCGGCTTTCCAATGGCAGTGACGAGCAGGTGATTTGTGGGGGGGGGGGGGG